ATTCTTTCTCAAAATAACGCCCACGGTGTGATAGACATTTCTCGTGCCGTTTTACCCATGCATTGATCACATTGCTGAACCATTCTTGTCCAAGTGATCTGTTGACACTTCACGACGAATTTCGGTCACATTTAGAAATCTTTATCCTCGCAAATGTCTTTTTCAAGGCAGGAAAATCCAGAGGAGCGAGATCTGGCGAGTAGGGCGGAAGTTTGAGTCTCCGAAATCCAAAGAGGTCTAATTCCAGTTCCGTGACTTGGAGCATTGTCTTGATGATAAATCAACTCTTCCGTGCTGTTTGCCAAAACCGGCCTTTTTTCCGCAATGGAGAAAATCAGGGCGGACAACCTGAATAAATAATATTCATGATAAAGATTTCTGCCTATCAATTTTCAGTGACCTTAAAAAGGATACAAGTTTCTTTCATAAAACTGCATCATTTATTAATTCTTAGTTTAACAATCTTAATTTTTTCTTTTACCAATGTCCTTTCCTTTTCTTGAAAATCTCTGTTGCCATCTCCGCACAGCCAATCAGAATCAAGAAAATATTGTCCGCCATTACCTCCGACAAAAGTATCAAGTCGGACATAGACGCTATGTAAATTTTAAAAACAATTTGAAAGAATGGTGAAGACCTGTGCTTATGGAAAGTGCAACAGTGATACCAGGTATCCCGAGAGGATACAAGGGGTTCGTTTTATTCCCTTTCCAAAGCCCAAGACTCAGAAAGACAAGTGTTTGCGATGGATAAGGGCCTGCGGGAGACCTCACTACCAGCTCAACGAAAGCAGGATCGATCGTCATACCTTTATCTGCACAAAAGTAATTCTATTTGATATAACATTTCCTAGTCATTTACATTTAAAGTGAAGAATCATTATGAATATGCAGGCATGCTTGTAGCCATATGGATTAAAAATAAAAGGAGAGTACGCTTTGACAGTTAACGTTAGGCCTATCTGTCAACTTGAGGTCCTACACGACGCGGTGTTATATTTTGATTTGTCGTTTTCTCCTAGTCCACAATCTGAACATTTCGTATCATATATGCCTTTATATTGATCTTGATTGTACATGTTTACAGTTGTATGACCATGATTGATGCTTGGTATTCTAATTCAGAATAAATTTTGTAGCATTTCATGGATTCTAGTGGCCCAACGGGGGAATATCCAGATCCAGTACCATGCGATGGTTCAGTTATTAAAAAAAGCAGACGTCACTGGAGAGAGAGGAGCAGGTTGGATTATTTTTAAGTAAAAATGAACAGAGTCAATCTGTGGCACATTTTCATTTTAGCACTTGTCAATGAGAAAATGATGCACCATTACTGGTACATGTACATATGAAAAATTTAGACCATTTATCTATGAAAATGCCCTGCCACAAATATGGACAGGACATAAAGTGTTTATTGTGATTGTGGTGTGTCACACGCACAGTTACAAGCTGCAATACAAATGTATATATTTACAATCGCTGTGTTTTTCTAGTAAGCTTACTGTGAAATTGATTTGAAAATCATTTTCGTGTATACTCACGCGTAGAAATATACCGGACAAATATGGACAGGTCACATAAAGTTGTTTGCAACGATATTGAAATTCAAATATTTAGCATATTTTAGTTGCTTCCAAACATGTGAAATGTGGTTTTTCAGTTTAGTGTGAATTATTGGTGTGTGTCACACCTGCACAGCATATTTCATGAAGCGCGCTAGCGCTTCATGAAAAATATGCCTACGTGCAAGTCTGTGTGATTCACACACCAATAATTCACACAAAACTGAAAAACATTCCTTAATTGTTATTCATGTCTGTAGGACATATTGTATTGTAATTATAATGATTTAAAGTCAATTCACTGAATTCAAAACTGTCAGATAATGTTCAAATCAAACTTTAGTTTAGATTAACCCTGTACCAGTTCTCTCTGTCAAATTTAGAATATAAGCAGCTCATGTTCAGAAAAATGATATTTTAATATGAATATATTTTAATATACATTGATATATTTTATATATATGATATTTTGATATAAATATATAACTTCAACATTTTGAAAACAGTCAAGTACTGCAATACAAAGAAATAAGGTAATTCATTAAACCTTTCAGACAAATCCATGAACATGATGAACAACAGAAAACGTGTACTGAAACGTCCATGGGCTTAAATCAGGCTGCTGCAACATCTGTGGGGTTACCGGTAAATCAGGCTACTGAAGATGAACTAAATCCAATTGAAATTGATTCATCATTACTTGCAGGTAATATGCCTCTGTAAAATGCAGGATTAAAATATTGATCTCGGATTTAAAAAAAAAAAAAAAAAAAAAAAAAAGCCCCAAAAGAGAGAAAAACAAACAAACACTAAATTCAAAAGGGGCCCCTAAAGTTTTTGTTAATTGATATTCACAAATACAAAAAAACTTCATGTTGTACTTGAGACTTTTTGGATGATTTTTCTTGTATAAACAGAAAAAGAAATTTACACGTTATCAGCAACATAATAAATACTAGTGCAGGGTGTACATGTACTTGAAAATCAAATTTTGAATCATTGTTCATTACATTTAGTTTTGAGGAGTTGGGAGTGGGGGTCTTTGGGGAGGATTTTTTTTCAGTCATTAAATTAGGATCTTTTGCTTAAGAAGGGAACAGCATAGTATTTATAAAAGTAGGACAGTTTCAAAAGCATGTCTGTCATGAATGGAGCATCTGGGTGAATTCGTTCGACAAACATGTCTTTGGAGGTGTATACTACAAAGTCACACCAAGGTGCACCAGACACAAGTAATTGACCCTGCACCTGTACATAATGATCATGAGTTCTGTTCATTGTTATCTGGCCATTTTCTTCTTTTAACATGAAATTTTTAATATTTACACAAGCTTCAGAGATAGAGAGATCTCTAGCCAAGTAGGGACATTTGATTTCTACGATTCCACACTCGCCATTTTCACAGCATTTACCATCAGGAGTGGCTGCAAGGAATGGAAACTGGTTGTTGATAATCAGTCCACAATCATGAAGATGTGAATTGTTCAATGATATTTGTTTGACCAATTTCTCTCGTGCAAGCTTTTCCCTACTTAGGCCATAATCTGTAGCTGCACATCTTGCAAAAGATTTATTTTGAAATAGGGAACCTAAAAGCAATTCATTTGGTAGCTTTTTTCTTTTGACAACACGATGCATCTGTGATGCTGTGATACGATTTGCCCTGTATTTAAACCATTCAGGATTTTCATACTGGTTTCTAGTTGTTTTTTCTATGCCCTCAGGATTAGAGGTTATAAGCTCTTCTGTAAGCAATTCATTGTACCATGGGGGAAGTTTTACCAAGGCTGTCTGTGGAAAGATGGTATCGCCACAATACATCAAAACCCCCTCATGCACACATAATCCTTTAGATTTTGACTGAAATTGATAAGGATAAAAAATGCAATTAAAAGATATGATTTCTCAAAGAAAAAAAAATTGAAATCATAAAAATAAAAAAAAAATGATATCAACTGGCCCTATTTATTATTAGCATGTAATAAGAAACAAACATTTTTTTTTTTTATTTGGCCTAATGCAATCAAAAATTATAATTTTGTGGTTTATATCAATGATAACTAATGAAGATGGAAGTTTTTATGTGACATATTAGACTTGTTGAGAAATTTTGTATATTCATGAAAAGTTAATATGTGTTTGTTTTGTTTTGTTTTTTTTTCAATCTAATGCATACACAGCATCAAGCCACAGAAAAACTAAGTTCAGGCTAATTTTATTATCCATGGTTTAATTAAATGACATATTGGCTTTGAATTTGAAAAATTCATAACCTGCAATTTTCACAGTGACTAAAGTTAACTGCTCTTTTATTACAGGATCATTAGATTTACTGACTGCTGCAGCACAAGTACAAGAACTGCAAGATAGCCTTAAATCAACGGTTGAGACTCTCCATCAGCAGAGAATTTTAAATCATCACCTGCAGCTTCAATTATCCGCAACATCTCAACACTGTACTGATCCAGAGCCTGAATTTACCGTTGAAAAAATTCTTCAACAAGAGAAAAAAAATCCTGGATTATTTCTTTATTATACCAACTTGAAGTACTGTACATTTGTCACTCTGTTAGAATTTTTGACCTCTCAACAGTTACCAGAATATGCAAAAAAGAGAAAAGAAATCAAGAGGATGAATGCAGCATCGCAACTCTTGTTAACACTGATGAGACTCAGACATAACTTCGGCCTAAAGGATTTGGCGGCACGATTTTGTATTTCTAAACAATCTGTCAGTGAAGTATTTAATGCATGGGTTGATCATATGTATATGATGTTGGGTGCAGTACCAATATGGCCTCATCGTGACCATGTCATTAGTAATATGCCATTACAGTTCAGATCTGAATTTCCAAGAACCATTGCTATTGTTGACTGCACAGAATTGAAAACACAAAAACCATCATCTTTAAAGTTACAATCACAAATGTATTCTGATTATAAATCGGGAACAACTTTAAAAGGACTGGTAGCTTGTGATCCAATGGGTAATATTGTGTTTGTCAGTGAGCTATTTACAGGGTCCATGTCAGATGTGGTTATCACTCAGAAAAGTGGATTTTATAAACTCCTACGTCAACTTTTGGAGGCAGGCTACATTCTGCAAGGTGACTGTATCATGGCGGATAAAGGATTCACCATTGAATCAGATTTGAAATCTTTGGGGTTACACCTAAACTTGCCATCATTTGTAAGTAGTGGAACACAGATGCCTCAATCTGATGTTGACTTGACACAGAAAATTGCAGCTCATCGCATACATGTAGAACGAGCTATTCGTAAAATAAGAACTTTTAAGATCGTATCACATTGTATTCCAACCAGCATATTTGGCTCAATCAACAAGGTATGGACTGTGTGTGCTTTACTCACCCTTTGGCAAGATCCAGTATTGAAAAAGAAGTAAAAATGTACAAGTGGTGTAAAGAGTAAATGTACATGTATTTTGCTAGTTTTTATACATGTATAAGTAAAGTAACAGCCTATAATTTTTTTGATTTTAGAAATGCACTTAATGATGTTAAATATTATGGTATCTGTGTTGTGAATCTAAAACTTAGCTCATCATTTTTTATGTGAATGACCAATGGACTAAAACCCTTGATTATGAACTTGTGGAACTCTGGAAAACTTAATAGAAAAAGAAAGGTCTCTACATTTGATGGAAAAAATTATTTTTAGAATGTGTTGTTCATGAAAATTGACACTTTCAAGTGAGATTGTATGCAAAACTGCATAAATAATTTTCAAGATTTCTACTGTAAATTTTAACTGAGCTACTGGTACATGTATATAGGGAGATTCTGTGAAAATTATTACAAAATGTGAGACATAGCTTTCCTTAATCTGATCAAACACTAAAATGAATAACTTTTGATGAACCATTGTTGTACTGATTTGCCTTTGCTTTGACTTTCATGATTGAAATTTTATAAACCCCCCCAACCCAAACCCATTGTTAAATGTTAATACACACCTGATAACTTAGTGTTGATCCAAGCTTTACATCACCAAATTCACTGCTTATATTTGGGACTTGTGATGTAATTAATTGTGATATTGGTGATCCTTCCACTGACTTCAACAAGTGAAACGACTTATCACTTAACTCTGGGACTCTGTTAGTGTATCAATGATATCAAATATGAAATTTTATGGATTTTTTTCCCTTAAATTTGTTAAATGAAGTTGCATGTATTCCCAAAGTACAGTGAATTTTAAAACAAATAAGTTTTTATAAAATGTTTATTCATCATTATATAGAATCAGTATGAAACTTTGTTCATTTATAATAAGTAAAAACATTAAACATTTATTCTGTACCTGGACTTGATTTCTTTTGGCAATATAGGGACTTTTTTGTGGATTTCTTTTGATTTTACAACTATAATTTCATTCACAGATGCAGGGTTGATCTTGTTTCCTCTAGGAATGTGCCATTGTTGGGGAAGGCTTGTTCAGTCCCAGCAGTTTAAACTGCTGGATACACTTAACCAAACCAACAATGTGTGAGCACTTGCCAGAGACCCTACAAGGCGTTGCATTCACATATTGTAGCTCCTTATAATCATGCATCAAATGAACTTGTAGTTTTATTAATCATTACGTTTACTTATAAATTATATAGATAATAATTTCTGTGTCTTTTTATGTCATGATGAATTTTATAGATAATGAGTAGTCTCTTACTGTTTAAACATGAATGTATTAGATCCAGTATGAGAATGGAAATGGAATACATGATAATGGAAACAAAAATTGATAAATTCTTCCAGCAAATAAACATGACAAAGGCCAATATCTGAATCATCATGTTGGCTGAAGAAGGAGAATACGCAGTTAGACTCAAAGTGAACAAAATATCTGGTTAACGATAGAACACTCAATGCAAGTGTCAGTTGAAGTGGTTTAATGCAATCATTGAAAACAAAAATAAATAAGTAATTATTAAAATATCAATTTATTAACCAACAATAACGTCTGAACGCATTCAAAACGAACTAGTTTTTTACCCGGCTGTGCATGAACAATAGGCATCTGTAACTACAGACTCCGCTAAATCTATATGTAATCGATGTGGTGCCTCTCCCTTCCTCATGCTCCGATAGCATCTCGCAGCAATAATTACAGTGCTACCTGCGTTTTTGGATACAGTGATATTATGAATGTATCCCTCTTTATAATAAATTAAGCCTTTTGATTGACTCTTCTGTGAAAAATTGAAATTAAATGAACTAAGAGTAAATTCATCCGGTACAAGTTGTAAATCACCCGCCATGATGTTTACATTCTGTTGTCGGAGGTGCGGGTCACGTGATTTTCGTTGCCATCGGTGGGCGGAGCGTGGAAGCGTGAATTCCGATTATGTCATCGACTTCACGGACAGTTAGTCGTTGGTCTTCTTGAATGACGTCAAAAACGAGACTCTTTTTGTTGGTCTTCCCCGCAACTCTTTCATCGGATCACAAGTCCAACCTTTCTGGAATCTTTTGTGCCACGTATACTTGTAAACTAGAGTCCTAGACAAGTGTTTGTGTTTTATTGTTTCCATCTCCCTTTTTAGTCTGTTTAGGGACGAGTCATACCTTGCTCAACGCAGGATTGAATAATAATGCGACGTGACATGTTGTGAATTGTGTATCTACTGCCACCGGGTAAATTTAAAATTTACATGACAATTCGCTGATGTTGCCATTTTTGACAATATTAAAAGGTGAGTTTTTGGATAAATAACGTCATATTATTGCCGTTTATTAAGTCATTTTAATGAATTTTCACAGTTAAGGTAGGATTCTTCTCTGGTTTCTGAGTAGATGAAATATTCAATGTATATTTGCTTATAAGTCGTATAAATTTAGGTGAAAGAGATTTAAAAGACCATATTTTTCTTTTCTCATCACAATTGCACAACTTAAAATAGAAATGGTAAATTGTGTTCGAAAACTAACAGGGACTATATTTTTGGCGGAATGGTGGCGTATGAAAATATCTTCTTTTCTGCCTCTCAAAATTATTATAGAACAACAAATTTGGTTATAATTTTTAAATAATCAAAGACTTGAAGAATTTTTCAAATGTTAGCTAAATTAAAAATAACGGTCTAAAGTTTTAAAATATATCAAATAAATATGATTTTCCAAACAAACTACAATTATGTTAGCATTTAAAAGCTTCCAATCTAAGTACAGATATGAGCAAAAAATCTGTAGAAAGTGTTTTTACTCTCTTACTAAACGGTCAAAACTTTTCGTTTTTAAATCAATTTCTATCTTTATATGACTTCTTTACCATATGTGAAAATAAGACAAGAGGCCCACGGGCCTTATAGGTCACCTGAGTATTGTGCAACAACTTTCAAACAATTAAATTTGGTTCGTGTTTTAAACCAGAGGCCATGAAATTCGCAATTCAAAATTTTGAAAGAGGCACCATTGTTTATCATAATTATAGACTTAGCATGCTTACTCTATCTACCTAATACCCAGATGTAGATCAGAGTAACATTTTAAGAGAAAATGCACTTCCACTTTATAACCAGTTGTACACCTCATCCCAAAGGACCCACTGACCCTGGGGCCACATATTTCAAAATTTTGCAAATTTTATCATAAAATGGTTGATTAATACCAAAGAGCAGATTTCAAAGCATTAATTTATTTTCAGACTATGTACCCCCCACCCCCACCCCCGACCCATAAGGGGGCATAATAAATAACCATTTTGCTAGATGCACCTTTCTTAATCATAAATATATATACTTGGATCATTGGCATAAACCCGGGAGCAAAGGAAACATTTTCAAAGAATTAATGTATGTTCACTGTATAATCAATAGAGCCCCGCCCTAACACCAGAGCCCATGACCCTGGGGTCATAAAATTCACAATTTTGGAAGAGGCACTCTTGCTTATCATAACTATGTACTTAGTTTATTTAATACCCAGGAGCAGAGAAGAAGATTTTCAAAGAATTACTGCATTTTCACTTTATGATCAATAGAGCCCCGCCCAACACCAGAACCCATGACCCTGCAGCCATAAAATTCACAATTTTGGAAGAGGCTCTCTTGTTCATCATAACTATGTGTTTGGTTAGTTTATTTAATGCCAAGGAGCAGAGAAGAAGACTCTCAAAGAATTAATGCATTTTCACTATATGATCAATAGAGCCCCGCCCTAACACCAGAACCCATGACCTTGGGTCATAAAATTCACAATTTTGAAAGAGGCACTCTTGTTCATCATAACTATATGCTTGGTTAGTTTACTTAATACCCAGGAGCAGAGAAGAAGATTTTCAAAGAAATCATGCATTTTCATTATATAATCTCTATAGACCCACCCTAACACTAGAACCCCTGACCCTGGGGCCATGAATTTCACAATTTTAGTAGAGGACTCAATGTTTTCATTACATTCATGCCAACAGTTTGCCTGCTTGATGTCCAGGAGTAAAGAAGAAGATTTTTTAAAGATTGCAATAATTTTAGTGGTTTTGGCCCCACCCCTCAGGCCCCGGGGGGGGGGGGGCGGGGACCATGAAATTCATAATTTTTGTTTCCCTTCACCCATAGATGCTGTATACCAAATTTGGTTGAAATTGGTTAAGTGGTTTCAGAGAAGAAGCTGAAAATGTTCAAATGTTAACACACGACGACGGACGAAAACGGATAGCAATTGGTCACCTGAGTTACTCAGGTGACCTAAAAAAATTTAAATATAGGGTGCATATAAAAATAACTTAAATGTCCTAAAAATTTAAGAAAAAATAGAGAAAATTTGGATTAGCCAAACTCCATTTTTGTTAATCTATTTGTGTCAATTTGGTAATATCATCTTATAGACCATATATGGTAATATCTTTATATGCAAAAAGAAAAACATTTAATCTTTTGAAATAGAAGACCCCATCGCATGATTGAATGCAGTGATTTTTATTCTTAATGTCCAGGGAAAAGGTAATGACCTTGACCTGACCTTGACTCTAATACAGAACGGTCAAAAGTAATCTAACTGATACCATCATATAGTAATACTGTCATCTTGATTCTGTGAAAATTTCATTAATTTTTAAATACAAGAAATGTTTTGTGAGAGAAGAATCCTACCTTAAGTGTGCGAGATTGAATAGTTTTATTGATATTAATTTTCATTGAGAGTATCATCATAAACCAGTAATAAACAAAACAAAAAAGAACGTTGACGATAATTTTGCTCTGATTGAAAAGATTGCCGTGGGCCCACAACCAATATCTAAAACTCTTTAAATGGGTGCTAGACAACATAAAATGATTTTTTTGTTTTCATGAAGAAAAAAAATATTTTCCATCATCATACGAAAAATGAAAAAAAAAATGATTTGTAGTTTTTGAAATATTGAAAAAGTTTGCGTTTTTCAGGGACAACCCTCGTACATGTATGTGAATACGTACAAATTTGGCTAATACATAGCCCTTAAGAAATTAAAGTCATTGGACCCCTTTAATTTGAAGTGTGACGTAGTACCTGATGCGTTTTGGTTATGGCCTGATGGTAAAGGGGACACTGACCAAGCCATAATTCTTGGTCAACATTGCCCCAGGGTATTGTCGGATCTAGGCTTCTACGAAGTCTGAACTGCTTGTCGTAGTTTTTCCAACCTAGTCTCCCATTCCGAGGTGCCCTCAATCTAACATCATGCACAAAGCCCTTGTACTGGCTGAATAAGAACAGATCAATAAATGGTGCTGTATATTATGAAAGCGTCTGTCCATTTGTAAATACTGTCTAAGGCAGAAGGTTTAGACGCGTCTCTAGTAACCAATTATCCCTTCTCATTATTATAAATTGTTTTCTCAGTGGAAGGTTTTGCATATAAGTACTTTCCACCAATAATGCTAAATCTATGTATGCAGAAAATAAGAATTGTTGCTTTGAATGCGAAACATTAACCGCAAGCTTAATGTTAAAAGTTTACAATACTTGAGGTGCTTCTTCATAGTTGGTACCTGTCGTAGTCGTGGTCTCACTAACAGGGATGGCTACAGCCTGCTGCTCCTGCTCGGTGTGATCATCATACTCCCGTAGAGAGACAGCATCCTGTGCAGTTTTGGATAGCTCTCCTTTCGTCTTTTTAGCTCACCTGAGCCGAAGGCTCAAGTGAGCTTTTCTGATCACATCTTGTCCGGCGTCCGTCTGTCTGTAAACTTTTCACATTTTCGACTTCTTCTCAAGAATCGCTGGGCCAATTTCAACCGAACTTGCCATAAAGCATCCTTGGGTGAAGGGGATTCAAGTTCGTTCAAATGAAGGGCCACGCCCTCATTCAAAGGAAGATAATTGGGAATTAATCAAAATTTGGTGGCATGT